AGGATTGATGGTGGTACATAGAGAAGCTGAAGAAAACAATAACAAAGTCAAAGGTCGTCTTCCGATTTTTATTTAGATTGGCTTTGAACTTGTCAATTTGATTGGTGTTTAAGATTGTTATCTGCTCATAAAAGTTGCTTATGTCATCTTATCAACACATGCAACATCCCAACACAATACCAAGACAAACAGATTTAGGATAAAGATGAAAGCAAAGTAGTACAGGAAATTAAAAAAGAAACTCAAATGACTCATTTTTTTGTTTCCTTGAACCTGCAGTGATTATATTTTGGCGAAAGTAAAGACTGTCATGCCACAGCAGGCAAGGTGAGGATAACTAAAGATGTTCTAAATTTGTCTGGCTGGCAAGCACAATGTTGCTGCTGCAGGATATATTCAGACAGCATTTAAAATGACCTGGGTGAAAGTGACCATTATAATCTTCAAAACTTTAATTTCATCCTTCCATATTTTTGTCAGCCTATTGTGAAATCCAAAAATGGGGCAGTATTCCCATTTAAACCACACGTTTTGTTGCATCAAGAAAACAAGTATAACATGTAATAAATGATTACAAGCACTTAATTGAAAAGGAAAAAACAGCAAAACATGCAAATGGATCAACTTAGTCGGACAATCGTCATCCAACACATGTGCTGCCTGCTGACTGAATTGATGCTTCTCTGTTTAATTTCTGCAATTATTTTTACTTAATGGTGGAATTCACTGGGTTTTGTCCCAATTAAAAAAAAAACATTAACATTGTTGCTCTGAGTAAAAAAACAAGAAAAAAATAATCTGCTCCCATTGAGACACTTTACATATCTTGATTTTATTTAACAGTGTTTAACACACACCACAAGCCCAAATCAATATTTCACAGATCTATATCTATCCATCAGAACTGATATGGATTCATTGCAGGAGAATGTTGCAAGTTCATACATCATCATATATACTTGACTGATGCCCTGAATGTATCACAGATTGCTTGATGAGATGACCTGATATCATTTAGTGTGATTGGACACAAGGGAGGGAAGCAAAGAGGGAACAGAAATCCGAGTTGTGTTTCCCTCCACACTCCCTCCGTCGAGGTCACTCTTCCCAGGAGACACTGGCTGTCGAGCGCCACTGCAGAGTTTTACAGGCTTTCTGTCTCATCCTGCCGAACCCCCAGAGGCACCTCTGATCTAGTTTATGTCGTCCTACTGCAGCGTGCTTTTTTTAGGACTGGCTTGAACGTACCAGCTTAGAGAGCCTGGCCTCTAGGGAGTAGACCCAAATCAGCCAATCTGCACCTAGCCTGTTAACCAAGACGATCCTCTGCCAACACACACAGAGTACTCAGAAACATGCACAGTCAACAGTGACTCATGACCCCAAAACAGCACTGTCACAGAGCCCTGGCTGCTCAACCTTTTCCCCAATATTAAACTTGACATGTATTTAAATAATAAAATAATTTTATGAGTTTCTCATTTGAAGTGCTTTTTAAAGGTTGCACAATCCTTGTAAAAAGACTGGTTTTATGTTTTGAACATTACTGTATTTCTATAAATCCTTTAAAAGTTTGTTCCACATTTTAGTGAGACTATGTCCCAGACAGTTCAACTGAAAAATGCAAGCAAATCTGTTAAGGGGTTAATTAAACATTGAAAAAAGTGCAGTAACCTAGTTGCATAGATGTGGAGCCTTTTAAATTAATACTTTGTTGCAGAACATTTTAGCTAAAATACATCCCTTTTAGCTAAAATGTTCTGCCACAACATTTTAATGTTAACTCCTGGCATCAACTGCTGTGAATCTGTTTTACCTAAAATAAAGTTCAGATGCATCCTGCAGCTAAAACAACAGACTGCAGACAGGTTACACAGGACCAAAATGTTCTTATTGTACAAAGCTATAAGTCGTCAAAAGGGTGCAAAGCCTCCACAGTACAACTGATAGACGACGGTGCAGTCAAGATTCATTACTACTAAAATAAAAATATGGGACAGCTCAAAAGCTTGGCATTTCTCCAATACTGATAAAAATAAAACACTTGTGTCTTAAAGAGCTGCATTCATTTCCAACAAGTGCCACATGAAATCCTCATTAGCTTTAAGTAAACCAAAGCAAGCCATTTGGACGATATCATCCCCGTGCCAACGCTTTTATGCAGACCAAAGCTCCTCAGGAATCCCAGCGAGATGCTGCTGCCTGGAGGCTTTCACCTGCTGCGCTGCTAAAAGGCCACAGCTGCAGCTCGCTTTGTGAGAGTCTGCTGTAACTGGTACGGAGTCAAAAACATTTCTGCCGGTGGTGCCGGGAAGGGTCGAGAGATTGGGAACAAGGGATTAAGAGATGCAGTGGAGGGAGGGTACAGAGGGATAAAGCATAGCTGGAGTAATCCCACACGCTGTGTCCCAGTGTTGCCGTAGCTGAGGAAGTCACATATGTTACATAACTCAGGCAGAGTGGGGTGGTTTTAAGGCTGGAAAATTACTAGAGTCACTGAATGTTTATGTCAGCCGGCATTGGAGACGTCATCACCAGCACGCACTGGTGTGTGTGCGTGTGTGTATGCTTGGTGTAAAACACAAGTGCATCTGTCAATTTTATTATTTCACGTAAATGTGCATGAATGGCTGCTCTCATTTTGCATCATTTACGTCTGTTTTCTCCTTAACTCAAGCTCATAAATCATATGAGGGGAAAACAACCGTGAATGGTGTCAACTGCAATTAAATCAGGTTTTATCATCAGTCCTACTGTGTGACATTTCATAAGAAAGACTGCATTGACATTCAGGTTAAAAACATAATAATTACAGACATAGGCTTAAAAAATACTATCTCTTATTTTTTCCCTGTTGTTCAACTCTATCTGCTTTATGGCTGCCAGTCTTTCAACTGTTACTACTCCTGGATTATTCCGAGGTAAATAGCTCTAATTCTAATTCTTGGTTGTGTCAACACTTGGTGTCTACGATCACTTCTTGGGCACCACAGGGGCAGGAAGCAGGTGCTATGCAAGTGTTTTAGCTCCAAGATGCCCCAGGCCTGGACAGCTCTCCAGGACAGAGGCGGAAGTGTTGGATAAGACCTTGTACGGATCTGCACTGACACTGGAGAGGGAAAATGAAGAAAGATAAGAACAAATGTGTCAGGGTGTAGGGGAAAATAACATGATTGCAGTTACAGTGTGACACAAAGAAGATGAGGGTAATGTCACTGTCAAGGAATGTAGGATGGAAGTGGATGTAAACAGGATAGAGGAAGCAGAGGATCAAGTGTGATGGAAATGAGGAGAATACGAGGGAGACGGATAGTGTGTGACGACCAGGGGAGACGGGAAAGCTGGAGGTTGCATGATGAGATTAAAGCGCATGTCTGGTGTCACAAACGCAGCTGAAATCCATTGCTGATTACTTTGTTTGGCTGAGTGGACCAGGGGCGAGTGTCCAGCGCGCTGCTCAAAAAGCCGCTGCTTTGGCAACACACCGCCGAACTGTGATGACGCACCGAATGGGACAGAAGAAAACAAACACAAGTCTCCGTGTGGAGCCATTTTACACAAAATAGAGCCAGGATAACTCCCTTCCTACAATGCAGTGTGGTGCCATAAACAGCAGAGCATGTCAGTAGCTCATGTCATTGCCAAGGTTGACTTCTTCCACAGAGGACACTTCCAATAACGTTCTTGTTTCACTTGCCAGCTCCACTCACTTAACTGCTTTACTTTCTGAAGTTAGACACTATTAATTCACGTCAAGTAATTCCCGCTGTAAACAGCCTTTCTTCTATAGCACAAAACATATATCTAATGTTAAAACACCACTCTTCTGGGAAAGACTGTAATTTGTAACGCTGAAATTCTAGCAAAAATATGTAGTAATTTCTGCTTTCCATCTTTTACACTGATTGCACATGTGATAGCATTGCTAGTCCACCAAACATATCTTATCAACCTGTGTTTTAGTCTTGAGCGTAAAAACTGCAGGACAGTAAAACTATTCTGACATAGTTAATCAAAAAAAAGTGTCTATCTGCAGTTAGTTTCTTGAGAAAAAAACGTCAGCAGTCTCATACTACACATGTGGTCACTGAAAATCAAAATAAAATACTGCTATTCAATCAGTTTGCAATTACTGTCAAATATTTGCCTTCATTTAGCTCAGGCATAGACAAAGAACAGCTCATCTCGCTCGTTCACTATTACTTATGTTTGAAACTGTAGTTATTTTTGTACTTTTTCAGTATATTTGCATATTTCATACCAAATTATTTTATAACTACATTGGCAACATTTTGGAGCCATTTAACTCATCTCAATAATTAAACAGATTTACTGAACTAACAATGGAAACATTTATGAAATAGGGATGCTTATTTATAAAAAGGTAAATTGACTTAGAGCCATGAAAAATATTGGTATAAGTCAAAGTCAAAAAAGAGCAACAGATGCAGCTGCAGTTCAAAAGCTGTAGTTTAAGTTAGCTTGTCCCAGTGATATAAGGAAAACCTCTAGTTCCTCATGCTTTCAAATTGCTCTTTAGTTAATAATATAGTTGACTTTAGCTTCCTAGAAGAACCGTAAGTCTTCTGGAAGATTATAACGATCACTCTGGCTTTAAGCTTGAGAGCCACATGCAAAAATGTTTAATATAAACACTAAATAAAGAGCAGCAGTGCTATTAACGTGAATCATGAGTTTAATTCTCATCACCAAGTGTATTTGTTGGACCAGAAAAATTTAAATGACTGTTCTGCTCTGCTGACTGCGGTGTGTTATCGGGTGGTAAAAGTTGCCGGTTCATCATTCATCAGTGAACTCTGCTAATGAAGTCACAGAGGGCCCAGTGTGTCCTCAGCCGGCATGACGTGTCAACGCAGTCAATGTATTTTTCCTCATTAGATTAATATGCAGGTGTGCTGAATGTTATTAATAATACAGCATCAGCCACTTTGACTATTCATTTATTCATGGCTGCCCTTTTTGTTTCTGTTTGTTTACAGATCAGACGCAGGAGGCCCACACCTGCCACACTCTTCAGAGTAGCCGACCAATCTCCTGAGGACGACCAGTCCACTCATCAGGTAAAGGTGAAGTCTCAACCTCTTTTTACTCTTTAAGTGTTTGTGCATTATCCTCTATCCTCCACGTTTTTTCCCCTCTGTGTCAGTGAGGTGATGTAAGCCTTTTGTAATCTAACCCTACTTAATTATAATGTTTGTTCATCATCAAAACCCCAAGTTCAGTTGTTATTATCTGTTCAAGGAGGTGATGAACGTGGTTAAATATTATTTACAAACAATTTATTTTATAAAAAAGAGAAACAAACTGAATCATACTTTTGGAGAAGCATTTAGAATAGGACTGAAAAACGGTGAATTTGAAAAACTCTGTAGTAAATTTTGAATTATGCAGCATGGCAGTCACAAGCCTGCATCAGATGTAGTGATGATGTTTGATTTGTGTACAGCCGTGCAATTTAAATGCATAACAAAGACTGAGAAATAATTTCCAATAAAAATAGTAAGAAGGTAAAATATTTACTTGGCCAAGAACAGGATCAATGAACTAAGTTTGTCTTCCATTAAAAAGCATGATATAGGAATTGTAACAGATATTTTGCGTTGACAATACAGTGATCAGTAGTATAGCTACAGTGATGTGATGTGTTTATTTACAGAAAAATTTTTCCTTATTGGTGTAGATTTTAGTCCCTCCCCAGGTAAAAAAAAAAAAGGCATTTGATTATTGCAGTTGAACAACCAAATTTAAGCTGGTTTCACAAATTAAGCATATTATGTCAACAAAAATAACTTCTTTTTAGCTATGCATAAAGTTAGTACACCCTCTGTTGGCTAAAAGGATCTTTCAGGAGAAAGTGAAAGAGAAAATCTGTGTTAATCTTCTTATCCTTTTCTTTACAGTGGGTCGTGGGGGAAAACGGCGTGCTTAAACCAAAACGTGTGAATCAAAATGTGTATCAGCCTCCGACGCTCAAAGGTTTGTACAAAACAGCACTAATTCTGCAGGTGGTGTTTGAGTGAACCGTGATTTATCCTTATGTTTATATCCTGTTCTGTCTTACCTTGCTTCGCTGCAGGTTTTGTCCTCCTTGCATTTATGTTACCTTCTATAAAAATAATATTATGCATGAGCAGATGTTGGGAATGCACTGAAATAATGCCTTCCTGGTTTATTTCTATACACACACCTTTGTGATTTGCATGATTCTGAAAGACTATGTGTTAGAAATACACTGGAAGACAGAGTTTGGGTGTTTATGAGAGACAGAGAGATACTAGAGAAACAGATTAGTGTGCGACAGCTGCGATACACTGAGTGTAAGTCTAGGAAAGTCAGGATCATCCAGGATTATAGCCAGTTTTTTATACAGCTGTGGCACAAACACACTAGCACTAAATTGTGCATGATTTCATTTGACATGAAGGAAAATAAGCATTTATTTTCCTTAAAGAAAAATAAGCATTTTATCGTGTTGTTTTCTCCACATGAGACTTTAGTACATGTGTTTCAGTGTGTGCCAAGTGGTGATATAGAGTCAGGAAGCCTCAATTCTGCACCAGATACCTGCCCTTTGTCAGCACAGTGAGGGACACACAGAGCAAACTCAGGAAGATTTTTTGTTGCGTAACCTTTCTTAGTAAAAAGTTAAAAAAAAAAAGCGACCTTCCTCAATGCTGTGCTCTGCATTTGAGGGTGTGAAAGAATGGTAGGAAGAGAAACTAAGGTGACCTAAAGGAAGAGTGAGAAGTAGGTGAGATAATATCATAGGAAATAAGAGACCACAAAAATGGAGAGCATTCTGCCAGAGCAAGGGAAGATTTGCAAAAGAGCTAAAAGAAGTGGCAGAAAACAGGGGAAAAAAAATCAGTGTGGAGTCTTGTTTCTTGGCTATTTGTCTGCCTCTCTGTGCATGTGCTTCCCGCCTGCCTGGCCTGTACTCAGAATCCACTGTGAGGCTGAAAACTGTTGAAGCGTGGTAAACCCAAAACAACATATCCCTTTGTCCCCTTGTCCGTGTCCATGTGTCCGTCTCCCTGTGTGTCTGTGTCTGTGTGTAGCTGTGCAGAAGATGGCTGAAGCCCAAATGCAGAAACTAGGTGTCTATCCTTTGGAAGACCCTTGTGAAGGGGACGAGGATGAGGACCACTGGGAGGGAGAGGAGGGAGACGAGGCATCTCCCGCCAAAGCTGCTGGTGAGAGGGAGGTTATTTGTCAACCGCCTGCAGAACACAACCACACTGTGGCAATGTCAAGTCCTGAAGAAGAAACTATACCTTGAGATACTTTATGCTGCTGGCATTGGAATATATATCATTTTGTGAAAGATTAAACAGATTTTCTGTTATGTTTTGAGAAGTGTGAACTAAATAAATATTAGAATGGAATCAAAAGACACTTAATGTGATCCTTTTAAGGCTGTGTCCACTTCTACAGCCAAGCTTTTGCAGTTTTTTATTTATTTGTTTTACATTTGTCCTCCACCAAAGTAAAATGGTTTGTGCAGACCGTTTTATCTCTAATGCTTCTATATAAATCAGTTTATCAGGTTTGAAGTTATATTTTAACTCCTTTAGAACTAGACCACATTAAAACCCTTGAATCTATTTGTGTTGTAAAATTTAAAATGACATAGATAGCTACTGGAAAATTCCCTTTTGCCATTTTCAGTAATAGTTTATCAAACACTGACTCACTTTATGTCTTTATTTTTTGTTAGGTAGCTTCTAGAATTTTTATTTATTTTTTGCTACTTAACAATCCTGCAGCTCTATTCTTTCAACACAAATACCAACATATTTTGATAAGGTTGTCATAGCACTGAATGTGACTCATATTGTAAATTGCAGGAGATGGAAAACAAATGACAAATATTTATTTAGAGCTAATAATAAGATATTATCTAGCAATGAACAAAATTAACATGGTTTCATACCAACTATTGTAGGACTTAACCTCAAATTATAAGCTCATGCAGTTATGGCCAAATGAAAGTATGAACCGGTTTGTGGAACCAGAAATAATTCATCTTCAGAAGAAGTTATGATCAGTCATTATATTCAAAAATAAAATTTCTAAACTGACACTGTAATAAGCACTTGATCTCCAAGTACAGAAACCATGAGTTGACTCAGGCCTTTTGAGTTTATTTGTAGCTTTTTATAGATTTGGTTTGTTTTAAAATGTAATATTCTATCTTTGTAATCTCTATTACGTCACAGGAGAACAGTGGCATTTTGTTCTGAATTATTGCTCTGACCAGATGACAGTCTGTCTCTGTAAATCCCTTTGTGTTGTAAAAGCCTGTTCAGATAAAAAAAAAATAAATAAATAAATAGAACATTTACTGATTGGGTTCTTTTTAACACTACATATCACTTTAGATTTTCCTAAAGAAATAAAAAAAATTATCTTAGTTAATTTTAAAACTAAGACATCACCTTTAAACACAGATTCAAGGAACAGTTTCGGTTGATATCTTAAGAGTAAATTTATCCTGGAAAGTTAGAAAGGGTATTATTTTGAAGTTTAAAAATCCCAGGATTCACAATGTTTGATTGTGAGTTTATCACAAATCTCTCAATAAGGTTAACTTTTCTCTCTTGCTATAAAGTAAACCTTACTGTTAACTGTGTTTCCAAGGTTATCCTTCCTTGAATGTTAACCAGTTGTACTGAGTATGTATAAGAAACAGATCTTTACCCTGACACACACAAACAAGTCCTATCCTTTTTCAAGGAAACATTCCCATATCACCTTGTTCCAAAACACTTTGTGAGTACAGAGCATTTAAGCTTGAGTACACAAAGAAACCAAAACATGCAGATTAATCTCAAAATCTGCACAGCTGGCACAAGCAGAGAGGCAGAAAGTTTGTTAAGGTTGGGAATAGGAACTTCTAAGGGTCACAGGACATAAGGTGTTCCATGAAATATACAGAGAAGTTTCCAGGAAGGAGATTTTCTGGTCATGAAAGAGTGACATTAGTCCAGTGACCAGTGGGAGTCACTCAGATACTGTGCTGCATTAGATCAACCTAAAACAGCTGAGATGGCTGGCCTGTATTGAGGGTTTAATGGTATGCTGAGTCAGATGCGGCCTGATATGTTTTATACTCCAAAGTATAAAGAGCAGCAACCAAGAGGCAGCTTTAAATGGGGTCAGACGACAGTTTGTCATAAATCAGGACATTCAGGCTTCTTGCTAACTCCAGAGATTTAGAAGCCATCTTTTATGTTGGGTATTGATTGGTATCTAGACTCAATGCCAATTTTATTAGCTACACATTTCTAGTACTGAATATAATGGATGTTAGCTCCTGGTGGCATAGATTCAACAAGATGTCCATATTGACATGACTGCATCATGCAGTCACTGCTTTTGATCCACTACTTTCCAAAGGTTCTCTACTGGATTGAGATCTGGTGGCTGCAGAGGCCACAGGAGTACAGTAAACTAATTCTCTATTGTCTAGAAACCCATTTGTGCTGCTTTGAGTTTTGTACTTTGGTGCAATGGCCTGCTAGAAGTGCCCATATGTCACCAACAATACATAGAAAGTTTCAGGGGCCAAAGTGTGCCAAGAAAATATCCCCCATATCATTACAAAGCAGCAGCCTGAACCCTTCATACAAGGGATGATGCATCAGTGCTTCAATGTTCTTTTTATGTCAGATTCTGACACAACCCTCTAAAAGCCACGTCTGAACTCAAAATCCATTGGAACAGGCAAAATATTTCCAATCGGTTAATAGCCAGTTTTTGTTGAACTTTTTTCCATAGTAGCCTCTGTTCTTATCAGAAGCGGCACTGTCTACTTCGAAGTTTGACATGTTGCGCATTCATCAATAATTTTCCACAGTGAGTCAGTACTTGAGCTACTTGTGCCTGTCTATTATCTTGAATCAGTCTACCAACTCTCCTCTAACCTCCCCCATCAATGAGGCATTTTCATCTGAGAACTGCTGCTCACTGGATATGTTCTCTTTTTGGGCTGAAGTGTAACCAAGAAAAAGGATGGTGCCTGAATATCCCTGTAAATCAACAGTTTCTTAAATACCCACACTAGTCCATCTGGTAGCAAGAACTATTTGCAGTCATTTAAATCCCTTTCCTTCATCATTCTGATTCAGAGTTTGAAGTTATCTTCACTATGTTGCCATGATTATCTAATGAAGGTGCTAGTGACTGTGTCAGTGACACAATCTGAGATTTGTGAGGGAAGTCAGTTAGTTATGTGGGTAATCTGTAGGGACTAGCTATGGATATAAATTTCTTCAGTTGCTATGTACTGTTGATATAGGTCATATAGGTTGTTAGGCAGAGCACAACATGAAACAGAGGTAGAGGAGAGAGTAAAGGAGCATTCATGTGCAAGGACTTGCCCATAGAGCCATTTCTGTATGAACCACAGTTGGTTACCTTGAAACTGGGTCAAAACAAGATGTGGAAAATTGGACTGTTTATTAAACCTTTACAGATATTGTGTGCAGTAAAGAAACAAAACTTACAAAACAGCTGATTACAAGCAGTTCTGCCAAGTCACAGACATAAAACACCAACAAACACTTGATAGTTTGTAATTAATTGCCTTACCTGAAATAACCCCTGATACACATAGCTGCTGGTGCACAATGGATACAAATAAAAGGAAAACAAAAGGTTTTATTGCTCTTTTTGATTTTTGTTTTGTTTCTTCAGATCATCAAGACACAGCAACTACTGAACGGTTTTCCAGTGTGAAAGAGATGACCAAGGAGAAAGAAACACCACAGGAGGAAGATGAAGTGGAGGAGGATGTAGAAAAGGATGACAAGATTGAGAACAGTCGGGGGTGTAACTGAGGGGAGAGTGGAGGACATATTTTAGAGAGACGATTTGGGGAAAGAATTGGTGTTGTCAAATGGTTTATAATCTGATGAACTTGTAGAAATGAAGAAGTGGTTAAATTTGTGGAGGCTCACTTGTTGGTGAGATGTGAGAATGATAGAAAATTCCATGTGCGTGTGAGTAAGTAAAGTTTTTATACTATTCACCCTCTATAGGGTCTGCTGGATTCAAAGTGAAAAATCTTATGAGGAGGTGAGGAATGATCTACTGAGAGAGCATTGCGCTGGCGCCACTTTGGCCCTACTGATCCGTTTTTATAGTGAGCGTGAATGGGCCAAGGTCAGTGTGACCAAAAGCTCTGCAAGTGGAAGTCCTCCCTTCACTGTCAATGCTTCAGCTCAGAGCTAAACATTATTTTAAAGAGGCTAAAAGGTTGAAAAGATAATACAACATCTTGGGTATAATTTAAGACTCAAAACAGCTCTTTTATGACCATCTGTGAAAGCACTTGGAGGTCTTTAAACATGACGTGTTCTGCTTCATTTTGAAATCAAGGCTTGCATTATTTGAATCAGCCCTCAACGTGTGCTGCCATCTTGTGGTGAACAAAAGCTTGACAGGGTTATGAAGTCCAACCTGCAGCTCGCTTTTTTCTAATTTACTTATAATCAATGATGTAATAATCAATTATGTATTGATTTTGTCTCTTACATTTAACTTTAGACCTTTCATTGCTTTGCCTATAATAATATCTATATGAAATATTTCAAGATAATACCAAGTCCTCATGAAGGGAAAGCAGATTACTTTTATTATTTCTGAGATAAATTCTTTATTTTTAATTCAACCAAATCATTCTCAAAAATCTAAAGCATGCTTTTCTCTTAAAGGTATCCATTCAGTGAGTGTATGTGTTTTGTTTTCTTCATTTCTTTCACTTTGTAGTATTTGGCATTTAAACTTAAAGGGCAATTCTACCTCTAATTTTAAAAAAAATGAAAAAAAGAAACATTTACTGTCTCCCTATTTTAGTTCAAGTAAAATTTCTTATTGTTTATTGAAATAAAATTAAGATCTCATACAGGTTTTTGTATATTAACTCTTTTATAATGTTATATTTTGAACTGCTCCCACATAATTTTATGCTGTAAGAGCTATTTTTCTAGTCTGAAGTGGAGTTTATGAGCTCAGCTGCCTGTTTTTAAGCATGTGACATGCAGCACTTTTTTGTAAATCCGTCAAATGTGCTCTGTAGACAAATGTTACGTTAGTATTTTACAGTAGATAAAACCATATTTTTATTGAACTAAATGTGAAATAAATAAAGTCACATTCAGTCTAATTCAAATTCTTTTTAACCGGTGGTAGTAATGCATGGGAAGGTTTCCAAATGTACCATGGAATGATTGCATTGTGCTGTTTGTTCCCTCTGGGCTGCTGTTTGTACAAAAAACTGAATCGTTTTTTTAACCTTTAACCAAACTGACTGGATGACCAGTAGGTTGTGTGTGCAGTCATCTCTTCGCTTTCTGTGACCCCCCTACTTTTCTTGGCCCACTTTAAAGAAAAGACAGATATTGTATGAATATGTTTTTACTTATTTTCTCCTCATTTCTCTTTTGTTTTCCACTCTTGTTTCATAATGTGATGTGGTTGTCTTAAAGTGAGCAACTCTATGGTATCAAAAATAAAGACGTTTTTTCTCATACTTCAGTCTGTGTTTGGTGTGAGTTTGTGTGTTTCTTTTGTATCACTCATCTATCCCCTTCTTATCTAAGAATGAGAACAAATATTGTATTTTTTTTATTCCAAGAGATATAACATTTCAAATTTGAAAGACGTCTAAGTGTAATACAGTATTAAGAGGAACGATCGCATGAAGTTAAGTTATTTTCACTACCTCTTGGAAAATAAGTGAAAGTTTTATTTTTCTCTTGCAAAATCTTGGACAAATAATGTTTTCTACTGGAACCACAAGTAACTGTTGAATTTCAAGTCCAAACATTAGAGGGATTGAAAAAATAAATTCAATTAAAATCTGTAAACAGTCTGGACACCCATGATTATATTACGAGAAAATACAGAAATATCTATACTGGATCTTTCACAGCACTTACAAGAACCCACTTGCATGTCCCAAGAGAACTTTAAGAATATTTAGCTTCATATTAGTATGAGTAAGATTAATTTATTTGTTATTGGTAAAACATTCAACAAATTAGTGATTCTTGAGAAGTGGGACAAAATGGATGTAAATTTTCCTGAAAAATGTTTTAAATTATTCCTCAAACTTATATAAATATGACAAATAATGTTTTGGAAATGTGAAGATGTGATGGTGCAGGCTCCCATTTGCATCACTTTTTTTGAAAATTAAATTTTTTATGAACCTGATCTAGAAATTTGTCATCATCATCTGACAAAAATAAATCTAAAATTGTTTTTCAATGACCCTATTAGTGATATTTTTTACTTAGTTTTACAGACAAATGCATCTCAAGAAACAAAAGAAATATTATATAAAACAAAAAACAACATAAAGTCCATCTGACGATGTTGACAATGCATGACGGAGTTGACGCAGAACTGAAGGTGATGACAAATCGGTGAGTAAAAAGAAAAACTTGATACGTGTGAAGTAATGTAATTTACGTAAAATACACTTGCGTGAGATTTGTCAACATTATCACTGAAAGAGTCACTTTCACTTAAAAACTGACGGAGTAGATTGTTGTGTTCACATGACACATATTTGAAAAAAATTATATGTTGTGTAGGCCTATATTTTATTCCGATTTTGTGATTTATCCATAGGACCCGTTTTGTCCTTCTTCTCAAACATCACTAATCAGGGGTGAAATAAGCTGGTAAATGTCGGTACCATCAAAAGATTCTGCGCTGTAAAGGCGTCATTCAGAACCAGTCATGGCTGCACTATGGGTCAGAATCTCCTAGCAATATGCACGTCAACTTCCAAAACACGATGGTTACTAAGGGGATTTGTGCATTTGATTTAATGAACTGGGACGTTTTACACGAGTGGTGTGCAGACATTAAAATGCGCCGCTCGCCTTAAGATAAGAAGAACGATAAATCTATGATCATCTACAGAGTTTTATATAAAAACCGTGAAAACACAATGGAACAGTTTTTAATTCAAATGAAATCAAAAGTTGACAATGCAGAGGGAAATTGATTTCTTGTTCAAAAGAAAAGTACTGGAAAACGAAGATGAGAAGTTCAAAATCAGACAACAACCTGCAGAGGATTTTGAGCAAGCTGAGGCTGAGGGTGAGTAGGGCGACCAGTCAGGACACCGCGTCCTAACTACCACATAAACTACCACATAATGTGCATTCATATGTGGTAGGCTGACTAGAAAAACCCATAGTGACTTTGAGAGTTTGAGTGAACTGCAGCAAGCTAATATCAATGATTCATACAGTCTGCCTTACCAATTAAAATACAGATGTTTTTCATATTGTCAAGTGCTTCTAATTTCTACCTTATCCCTACAGGTGGCCACAGTACAGTCAAAATAAGTTTTATTTGCTTGGGTTGAATTTGTACTTCTTTGTAATTGCATGAAGCGAGAGATAATGAGTCATTGTCGCTTTTCGTCATAATGCCGGTAAAAAATTCACAACTTCTTTACACTTCTTGTCAAAACAACTAAAACCGCCAGTGCAGTCAGCTTGTTGAAATGAGTCTTTGATATTTGTCACGTGACTCACCATTTGGCGGAGAGGTGTAGTGATACATCTTGGTGCAACAGTTCATCTTTGGCAACTCCGGAAGCCTCGCTATCCGATGATGTGCTAAATCAAGTGAGTTTACTGCTTTAAATATCCCATATGAGTCTTTTCTAACAGACCCTCTTATATTTGTGATAGTATTTGCTATAGTTGTCTCGTGGAAATATAATATGATTATTTTACATTTGAAGTTGTTACTTGTTCGGAAGAAGGTTTGTGAAGCTAACAGGGGAAAAGCTAGCCGCAGAATTAGTTTGATAAATTATAACTTGATTTGTGCACGTTTAATTAATTCACTCTGGGTTTAGCTAGATAACCTGGCATTTTTTCTTATTTGTTTCCCACTAGTAGCCAGTTTGCTAACACACAGAGTTGGATATTTGTTTTTAGCTTCGAGTAACGACTCGTCAGTCATGGGATTTCACACCAAATATAACCCGAACTTCTTGTGTTGTAAACAGTTTTCGCTGCAGTTGGAGAGTCCTGCACTTATTTATCAATCCTAGGGCAAAGGGTCTTTAGACTGGGCTGCAGAGATAATTAGAAAGCACTCGGGTCTGGATGTTTGTCGGTTCATTGGCCTAACAAACAAGCTGTTATAGTGCTACACCTCTGCTGAAACCTGATGTCATAGAGCTACCATTCTTATTTAAAAAATGATTCAGCACAATAACATCCTTCCCGTGAGTGATTTTAAATCACAAGCTGACTGTCATGAATATGGGAGCGCATAAATAAATTGGTTTAAAAGCAATGCAAGTTCAGCTAAAACAATTTATGAGGCCAGTTGGAGACCAAAGCAATGTTTAATGGTTCAGTGAATATTTTATGTTAAGTAGATCATATTTAACTCAACCAAAAAAAATTTATCAAAAGGAGACTATTTCCTTGCAAATTAAATAATGGTGCAGATGTTTTTAATAGCAGTTGTGTGTATGTTTCAGGTTAAATTTACCATAAGCAACAGGTAAGCCAAAGAAGAAGAAGTGTGGTAATGTGTAAACAGAGGACGCATTTTGGGGAAGCATGGTCAGGTGGATGGCAAAAGAACAATGAAGGCAATTGTTAACTTCATAAGCCAAAGAAATTGGTCCCATCTTTTAATATCAGGTCTGGTTCTCTGAAAAAAGCATAATATCTCAAAGGCTTCTTCACTTGGTAACTTATTTACCACTTATACTTAGAAGTCGTCAATTAGGCTCAAAATGATTGAACATTTTGAAGTCTTGTCAGATTAAGATTAAAAATTATCTTTCAGTTTTACCAAACACTTGCAGAGACTCATGCAGTGTAAATCTAGGGTGATTGAGAGTCGGCTGCATTCATTGAAACAATTTGTTTCATTTATATTCACCTTCTTTACAACAACCAGGGCGTGGACACATGTATAACTACATTGTTTTCAAGCCTCACAACATGTTTCTTAAAGCATCCAGCTGTGGACTTGTTCCTCCAGCTCTGGATACCTTCTTTTCTGCCTTTGTTTAGCTTCCCTTGCGGCTACAGACAGTAATGTTTAATCCCTCGCTCATATTTGCCAGTATGAATCACATTTAATACATCAGTAAAAAAAAACAAAGCATTAGGAAGGGAAAAAAAAACATATACAAGTTGCTCTGTACTTTTATACCACACAAGCCTTTTTTTGTCTGTTTTAATGGAATTCTAGTTTGTTTGAGAAAGATAATTTGTTTGGGGAGGTGTGAATCCACAATCAAACTCTGATACGTATAAAAAGGTGAGCTCTGGTCCGACTAAAAAACTAGATCTTTGATTGAAATTAACTCCGATGCCATTCGAATACATATGAAAATGCCAGAGACAGTTCCAAAAGCAGGAAGTGGACTATAGCGCAGGGCCTTCTGGGTAAATGCAACCAAAATGAATGCGTGGATCTAGCGCTGGTGGAGGAAATATCTCATGGTCTTTACCTAAAGGCACAAACAAAATCCTACAACATCTAAAGTCAGACGACGTTCCATTTGTTTACATTTTGTGAATAATGAAATTGTGCTCAGTGTCTTCTTCAGAGGTTTTTGTGTCATTTCCTTCAGTGATTCGTGGTGCAGCACTACCACAGCCAAGCGAGTGAACAGTTTGCTCAAAGGGTTCGGTTCGTTTCATATTGTGAAAGCAAACCGCAGCAGATAAAAATGTAACAATTGTACTTTTGGTTCCCAAATCGAGTCTACCGGACTATCAGTTGTGGAAACACCTGAAGTCACAGGACGACCCAAACTGAGAAAAATCTTTGACTTGTAGTCTAGAAAATACAGCTCTTTGATGTGAGATTGAATAAACCCTATTTTTATTTTTTCATTATATTTGCAGAGGAGATCTACCTCTGCATCAAAAGTGATGCAGGCCGAGGGCAGCCTCCCTGCCATTGCCTCCCTGAACGCCTCCTACTCCACGTCGCTGACCCTTCCTTCCTCATACCTCCTGCTTCCACCTGCGTCACGCAAAGCTGTCTCTGATGTCCGGCGCACCTTCTGTCTCTTTGTGACCTTTGACCTCCTCTTCATCACACTTCTGTGGATTATAGAGCTAAATGTAAATGCGTGTTTATTCATAGACATGTTTAAGATACAAAAACTCTCTTAATTCAATTGTTCAGTAACCGTTTGGACTCCTCCCTTGCTGTCCATCAGGTGACCGGTCCAATTTTGGATAATCTAGCAGATCAGGTCATTCGATATAACTTCAAGTCTTCCTTCTTTGACATAGTCGTAAGTGCCCTATCCTTATTGCTTTGGTGTGAATCTAAATTTTATGATCTTGACTATTTTTGGGGAGCTTGGATGTACATTTCCTTCCGTCGACAGCATTTGCAAAGTTTAGCATTTGGTGACATCATTTGCTTCCCCTTCTCTTCTTCTTCTTCAGCTCCTTGCCTTGTTTCGTTTCCTCTGTCTACAAATTGGCTACGCAGCATTTCTGTTGAAACACTGGTGGGTTGTCGCGGTAAGTCAGCTCAGACACAGCAAAACACTAAGTTATTCAAATTCAAGTGAAAATCTTCTAACTTTTCTGCTGGACATGAATAAGAGCTCAGTTATTTCCTGCAGATTTCCACTCTGGTGACCAGCGTCTTCCTCGTGGTGAAGGTCATTGTATCTGAAGTGAGTGCCTTCCTGTTGCTGCACATTCACAGTTCGGTTTGAGCAGAACAAGCTCATCAGCTGAAACCTCTTCAGCTGAAACCTATTCAGCTTTTACACTTCTGCTTTTTAAGATTCCCAGCTTATGTTTGCATAGGCTTTGTCAAGTAAACATTCTTATCTACTCCATCTATCTAAAGCACGTAGACATTTTCCCAGACCTCTTATCTTGAGCTGTAAGGACTTGCCTACATATGCGAAATAAAAGTGAAAGTATCCCCTTCTTTCTTTCTTCTTTCTCATTTTGCTCAACAGCTCTTGTCCAAAAACGCCTTTGGTTATGTTTTACCCATCACCTCATTTGTGGTGGCGTGGCTGGAAACCTGGTTCCTTGACTTCAAGGTTCTTACTCAGGAAGCCGAAAATGATCGAGGTGAGAGAAAAGTGACGAGTGCAAACACACTTCAACAGAAATTTACATCGTCTTTAACTTATTTCCTCCTCTGACCTTAGCTTACCTAGCAGCAGCCAACTCTGACAGAGCTCCTCTGCTCTACCCCCGCGCTATTTCTGACGGACAGTTCTACTCTCCACCTGAATCCGTTGCAGGTGATGGTCTTATAATATTTGCCATTCATCTTCTGTGTATTCTTGTTTATTTCCTGATTTCTGCAAGCAGTAATTTTTTCACTAATATTTTTGTCTGAAGACTCAGACGAGTATTTGGATGAGGAGGCTCTCAAGGCCAAAGCTGCCGCCTTGCAGGTACCTGGATCAGCGCCTGCTGACTGTTTTTAATTTAATGATCCTCCTCCTCTCGTTAATTTCTCCATGTGTGGATCTCACTGCAGGAGGAGGAGTACATCAAGCAGGGTCAAGAGGCCATGTCTGTGTTGGAAGAGTTCCTCAACCAGGAGGAGAACTGGAAGCTAGAGAAAATCAGCGTAAGGAAATCTTTCCGGTTCTTCCCAAGTTGTTATGTCTGGGAATAAATTCAACCTTTTATGAACCTATTGGTCAATTAATTCACATAAAACATAGCTTTTAAAAAAATGATTTTCAATTTATGATTAAAAAAAAAAGTCAATATCAAAATCATTTATGAGCAATTTTCCTTCACCTCATTGTTAATGGTTTCGGGTAAAGTAGTAAAACTTGATGGAACCAGTTCAGTTGCTTTTCAACCCGAAAGAGAAACCCGCTTGACATTCTTTAAAGCTCAGATTTATTTTCCCAATTCTGAATTTCAATTGTTCTTCACTAACTCTTAAATATGGAAAAGGTGTAAATTTTCACTTCACGTTCATGTATTGAAAAGGGACTTTTTTTAACAAATGCTTTTTTAACTATAATTTTTAGCTCGATTACTTTCCTTTACTTTGTCACAACAAAACTTCACTTCATGTTAATTGTTTCACACATTTCTTAAACTTTTTGTCTGTTTTCCATTTTCTCATTTAGCAAAGAAGCTAAATGAGAAATTATATTTGTTATATTTTGACTTGAATCTTAAAAGTTTTTATTTAAAATCTATATATTAATGTATATTTGTCTCATAGGTTTTGAAGTAGAACTAGTCTAACTTTTTCCAGATACTCCAAAAGTAGTGAAATGACTTTTTGCCACACTGCCGAATCATAAACCAATCTATTTTCAAATTTGCGTAAAAAAAAAAAAAAACGATTGAGCTAAGTTGATGTTTTTGTACTTGGATGAGAAGAATGTCACCAAAAAAAAAAAAAAGAAAAAAATGCTAAAATATGGAATTGTTTGGATTCAAGTAAAACCTTCTGATGCTGACAGGATTGTGTGTTTTGACAGGACACGGGAGATAGCGTCTACACTATGGAGACTCCCAACTACGGAAAGATTTTTATTTTGAAGGTACTGCAAACGTGAAACTTTGTGCTTCATTGTTATACAAAAAACAAAACACCAATCAGATCTAACCTTGTTTTGTGTTTTTCTGTTTCAAAAAGCTAATTTCAGATTAAAGGAACGACTGTTCATCTTACTAATACTGTCTTTTGTGAATCAACCAAATATTGTGAATCCAATTTTGTGAATTCACCAAAAAAATCAGATAATATGGAATTAAAGAAATTTCTCATAGTATAATTGGAAGGGATTCCTTAGTTAATGCATCTACATCAGATATGACATGAAATAAAATGGCTATACATTTGCAGTAGTAGTTGGAATTAATTTTGAAGCTGATGTATATTTAGTATCACAAGCTGTTTTACTTCTGCTTCTACATCAAAATATAAACAATTGATTGTCTTTGTTTCTCATGTTTTAAAATATTTCTTTCTAATTTACACATCCTTCATAAATGGAACAGACCAGTTTTGATTTTGTCTTTTATTTCATATTGGAAAAGTTGTTGGGATCTAAAATATAGTAATATCTTAAATTCAAAGATGAGAGTCGGTGGAGATTCCCCTCGGTTATTGGGAAGATTATAAATAGGGCTGTAACAGTTAATCGAATTATTGGAGTTTCTTGATTACTAAAATTCCTCGACACTTTGTTAAACTATATTTTAATACTTAATCTACTGTTTTCCAACCGGATAAGCACTCTCACTTCCCTCAATGAGCTGCTGGTGAATGCTAAGTGCTATTAGCATGACATTAGTTTACCAAATGTTCCCCTTAGTTTTTTTTTTTTTATGACCCAGCATAAAGTCCGCTTTGACCATAAAATTATCTCCTGAAGCATGATGTAGTTTGGTCTTCTTTTTGTTTTTTCTCTGCATTTTTTCATTTTTACTTTTTTCCTCAGATTTTGTGCTTTATTTCATTTGCTCAGGCCTTGATGCAGTGTCCCGCGGAGTTCATCTATCAGGAGGCGATACTGCAACCAGAGAAAGTATCTGAGTGGACCAAAACAGTTGTTTCCTGCCAGGTGATGAACCTCTTTGTTAGATCAAACGTTTTCCATTGAGACGTTTTGCAGAACTGTACTTTTGGCCTCAGGTCCTCCAGAGAATTGACGACAACACTCTGGTGACACATGACATCGCCGCTAGCGTAGGAGGAGGCATCGTGTCTTCCAGGTACATCAGCACAGCAAAGATTGGGATTCCTTAGGTCTCTTACTTTTTTCCTACTGAAAGGATATATTTGTTACTTTGTTTCATATTTCTTGTCTGAAGTAAAGTAAGGTGATTTTATTTATGCGCTTTCTGTTATTTTTTTCTCATCCCATTAAGGGACTATGTTAATGTTAGACGAATCGAACGCAGAGAAGACCGTTATATTAGTGTTGGCGTATCAACCACCCATGATGCCAAGCCGCCGACTGATCGCTGTGTCAGGTCAGTTTATGCCTTCACCTGGTTTTCTGTCATCACTTAAGTAAAGCAGGAGTAGTTTTCAACAGAAAGGCAGTGGTAAACAAATAATCTTGTTCTTGGTTATGTATGGACATGTTTTCTCTGTCCTACTAATAAAAACTTGTTTGAAATAAATGAATTAAAATCAATTGACATTTTTTTTACTTCCTGGTTGCTTTTTACTGGTTGTTCTAGGGGAGAAAACTACCCAGGAGGATTTGTGGTTCTGAAATCCAGCAGTGACCCGTCTGTCTCCACATTCATCTGGGTCCTCAACACAAACTTTAAGGTGGGGAATATGAACACAGAAATCTTTGTCTTTTTGTTGTTTTTTTTTTTTGCATGTATAAAATAGGGTTGGGGTCCTTCTCTCTTCTTCACTTGATCTTGCTTCTTCCTCCAAAACTGCAGACATATCACTCAAGTCTTTGCTGAAACTGCTCACAACTTCCATCGTTTTATACTTAATTGTATACGCTTTGAATTATCCTCATTACTACCAGTTACTACAAATGAAAAATGCGACACTAACAATGCCAGGGAATTTATAGTAATCTTTGGAAAATACTGTTAAAGTCTTTTGTGTACACAGAATGAAAGCGCAGCTGTTTTTTTTTTTTTTTTTTTTTTTTAAATCAGTTGGTTGTAAGTGGTTTTATTACGTCAGTGACACCTTTAGGACTTCCTCATGAAGCCTGAAGGATTATTGCTCATTTTAAGGTTGGTAATGTAGGTAAATTTCAAAGCAGATTCAAATCTCTTTAACAGAACAGTCTATGTAAATATGTTCAGTCAACCTTCAGTTGTTCCTTTTTTAGGGCCATCTGCCTCGCTATCTCATCCATCAGGCCCTACCTGCCGGCATGTTTGAGTTTGTGGGCCAGTTACGGCAACGCATCGCTGACGTTTATCCCCCCCCTGTCCAATCGTCCTCATCAACCACAAAGCCTAAAGAAAAGGAGCCTAGGAGGCAGAGCTCTGGACCCCCGTCATCAACCTAAGGAGTGGAGGCGTCATCCTGTGGAGCTCCTGAGCTGAAGGGATGCGCGGCCAGCTGCCATAACTGACCTGACTTTACCTCTAAGCATAGGAGGCCATATTTCAGATCAAGCAGAGTGATTTGGACAGAACAAATGACTCTCCTCAAACATTTTTTTTTTACATTTGACTGTTACTCTGACTCCCACTAGGACATGGGATCTGTTCTGAGTTGAGGTGCAGCGCACTCTCGCTTTCATGAAGAGAGGATCTATGAGAACTGTTGTCACAGAACAGAAGCAGCTCAAAACCTATTGTTGTTTATTAATTTGCTGCTTTTATTTTTTTTCTTTACATCTTCCTGCCTATATATAACAGCCATATTCTTATTATTTTAAAAAAATTCTGTGATGAAGAGGATGCGCTATTGCTCACCACTAGAGGGCGACATGACCAATGTAGATTGTGAAAAGGCTCTGTTTTTTTTTCTGCAGTACAACAGTAAAATTTGTTGTTCCAGGGTTTTTAACCAGTTTTTTGTGATTTTCACAGTGATATCTTAAAGCTAATTTCAGATCAAAGGGACGATTGTTCAGGCGAGCTAAAAGTAGATTAGACATCTTACTACTGCTGTCTTTTGTGCCAATCACCTCTTGTGGCCTTGTTGGGGGCAGAATAATGAGCTGGAGTAATTGCATGGTTTACAAATAAATTGAAGTTACAATTTATTTTGTCGTGTGTGAGATATGAAGTTTTGCTTCATTACATAATGAAGCAAAACTCAGCTTGCAATGATGAAAAAAACTTCCCCTTCAGCTTAGTGTTATTAGTCTGCATACTAATGGTACCACGCTCCTCAAAAATCATCATGGTTCAAAGGTAATTGTCCTGAAATGTGGGTAAAAAGCTGTTTTTTTTTTCTTTCTTCCTTTTTTTACAGAAACTTCTTTTATTTTTCCTAAAAGAACAAATTTGTGGATTTGACTTTGAGGAATTCTGTTTTTGAAAGCTGCCATTAATATAGGTGGAAAAAGAGCTGTGCAAGACGTCTGAAATATTTGGGTAATGAATTTACTCAGATGTATTTGTTCTGACATTTTAAGGTTCCCACAAAAGGAATTTCAAGTGAAGAAAATGTAAACAATTGTGCCTTCATTGCAGTAATTTAATATACTGGGCTTATTGCTTTTTGTTCATTCAAATCTGTATATTTTCTGCCCCAATGATGGTCTATTGTTGCACGAGAAGCCTGCTTGGAGCGCTTATGTTTACTTATTTCAATATTAGTTGTAATTCATTTTAACATCAAACATGTTAATTCAAAGCCATCACTACTGACCAACTGTTTTTACTTGATCTTAAGTCTCTTATGTGTAATAAAACATCAACACCTATCTTGAGATTTCTTTTTTTTTTCACAAATATAGGTATAATTCAATTTGAGACCAATGTTTTGTTTTTGTTTCTTTTTTTCTACTTTTAGTAACAAAACAGCGCAAATGTTTGACAAATTTGAGGTCATAAACAACTTTCATAAAACTTATTTTTCCAGTTAAGGATGATTTTTCATACATTTTTTCACCAACAAAGATCTTAGTTGTGAGATTTTCCACACTTAACTATTACTTTGCAGAGGTTTGATGGTGACATAAAATGTAATGACAGAAAACATTTAAAGGGCTTCGAGTTTTTCCACTTCTGGTTTCACCGCAACATTTTTTTTTATTGTTATTCCACCACTTTTCTTTTCTCTTGGTGTCTTTCAGAATATTTTTTTTCAGTGTTTAGTTTGAATCATTAGCATGTGGGAAATACCAGTGATTCAATTTTCTAGTAATGTCCAGTTCTATCAAACATATCCCTCCACTCACAATATAGGGGCATTTGGAAGAGAAACTTGCCTGCAGCACCACATATTAGGTTCAGAGTGCGAATCGTGCTCTTCCAGTTTGTTTCACATCAGGCGTACCATGTTACCAAAATATGTTAGCATTATCTGAGCTTCCTGATAACTTTCTGCTTTGCTCTCACAAATCCCTGCTTATTTCCACAAAGCTCCTCCTTAAAGCTCCTTCAGAATAGCGGGAGCAGCAATTAGCAAACAGCTGGTGGAACCACACATCTGCAGAGCTTATCATGCGAAATACATCTCTTTCTCTCACATAAAAGAACCATTTTGTGATGACGTGCTGAAGGTGAAGTGTTGGAAAGAATAGGAGTTTCTTAACCTTCCCACGGTCTTAGTGCGATGCTCAGGAAGAGAACAGCAGATGTCACGGTCGGACATCATAGAAGTGATGATATGTCCATTAGCCTGTCAGTTTCCAAAACCACAAAACAATAAAAAGAGTTGTAAAAAATCATGCAAGGTTCACTGGGTGTCATTGTAAGGCTGCAGGAGGATAAAATTGACGACAACCCAATTTCAAAGTGTCAAATTGAGAAGTGTTTATTAGGTTGTGTTTAATATGTACAGCACTTTTAAACAATTGAAGATAATATATCTGCTTGATTGTCATAAATGACGCTATGTGCCTGGAAAAGAACTAATAAGTAAAATATCTCAAGCTCGGAGATAATACTGGCTCTTTAGTTGTAAAATGAATTTGTGATCTGATTGACCAACTTAAAATTTATTCTCATACAAGTGGTGATTTTGTTTTTATTTCCATTTTATTGCTCTATTATTGGTCTTTGAAATATAGAATTTGATCTAAATATATAATCACTTCATATCAATAAAGTCGGTTTTTTGGGTTAGGTATGATTAAAAGTTGGATCTTAATATTCACGGTGCCTTTGTAGAAATTGGATTACTTTGTTTTGTTTTTTTGAAATAAAAGAAGAAATGAAAAAAGTTATCAAGTTTCGCTGCCCTTCTGAACTAATTATTTACATCCTATGGAACTGCAAGTAATAAGATTAAACCTTGATGTATAGCACTGGTAGATTTTAGACTGTATGTACAATTAGTCTTACAGATGTAGAAAAGAGATGTGTTGTTCTCAGGGGCAAAAGCAGAATTCATAGGACAGGACATGAAGCAGCTCACATGATAGTGCTGTGACTGTCTTCTGAGGTTATGGGTGTGTGAATGTTTTTTGTTTTTTCTTTATCGAAAAAACCCCTTTGGTGCTCTTATTCTCCTCTATGTGAGTCTGATAAGAAACACCAGTTGTCGGGATGCCATCTCCCTGAGCATCTGAGTCACTGTGGAGTCGAGGCGAGATCGTGGAAAATGGGAGGCTGAAAATCAGGTAGAGATAGAATTTAAGTTATTATTTTCAATGTCTTTGAATTTACTATCTGTTTTACATCTGAAAAATCAGTCAGATTTGCAAGATTCACTAAGATGGAGAATATAAATGTTGTTGCAGCTGCCTGTTTTTCTGTTACCCAATGTTTTTGTTTTGTTTTCTGAAATATTACCCATTGACTGAGTCATTTTTGAAAAAATAAAAACAAAAACATTTCTTCAGAGCATCGACCGGGGATTCGGAGCTGCAGAAGTGCCACTTGTTTTGAAGGAGCGAAGAAGGTTCAACATCTTTTAACCAAGGTCAAACAAAACCTCCATCTGGACTTTGTGGCATTGTGCAACCCTGAAACCGGCTCATCTTTGTTCCTTTTAGATGGGTTCGGCTTTCAAGAGGTTCTTCATGAAGTTTTGCTGCTGCTGCTGTGCTGAAGACGAGGACGAAGAGGAGGAAAAGCAACCTCTTGTAACGTAAGACCGCAATTTAAAAAAAGAGAAATCATTTTCCGCTCCTGCAGATCCTAAAACCATTTGATTGATGCTGAAAGAAACTATGGAAGCTTTTTTAATGCCAGTGAATGAGTTTTGCTGTGTCTCAACAACACAGGCCAGATCCACTGGATTATTTTACTCGTGAAGTCCAGAAGAGACGAGACGAGGAGACCAACCTGTGGAGTGAACCCGGAGACCCCAGCCACTCGGAGAGAGACGATGACCGAACGCTTTACACCCTGCTTCAGGCCAGGAATAAAACCCGCATTGGATCCACGGTATGTAGAGGAATAGAAAAAGGAACAAAAAAACACTAACAAATAAAAACTACTGATGCTTTTTTGCGTTTTAACACATGTTTTTATATGTTTCATAAATGCAATGCCATAAAAGCTTTTGGCAGCTTACAGGTATCTTCTGTTTCTGTCACACTTAAATGCTTCAAACACATTTTAATCTTTGAGAAAGCCTGATTAAATAAAAATAGTTTTCAAATTATGTATTTTTTTTTAGTTAAGGCTGGGAAACAATTAATACAAACTACCTAAGTCTATTTGAAAAGATTACTTACCATTTTTAAACCATAGTAAGTCACCATCCACACCCAGAATTAAGAAATTTCTTAAACAGAACCTGTCAAACAACATGAAGTAGGCTTAATTAGATAGCTTTCATAAAAAAATACATACATTTTTTAACATATTAAAACAATCAGTATGTCCTGACAATTTAATATCAGAAAAATAAGCAGTGAAAAAAATTAAACTCCGCAGACTCTTCCCAGTGGTCCTACTGCCATCTGCAGAAATATACCACTCCTATTCAGGAACAACCAATAAGAGGTAGGAGGAGAGCTTAACAGTGTCAATCAGGCTTGTGTTGTTCAAGCTCAAGATTTAATGCACTAATGATGGAGAAACAACCTACTGTCACAAGAAAACTGCCAATTGTGTTGTGTTCAGGACTGGGAGGGCCGCAACACATCAGCACGAGAGCAAAGGGGAGACATCTGTAAAGTGTGATTGTTCACATTTTGAGGCCACGTCTCAGAACTCCATGCAATAGCTTTAAAGATCTCAAAGAGCAAAACTTTATGCCCTCATCTGCCATGAGGAAATTCAAAAACATGTCACAAACAAAATCACTGACATCTATCCCGGAATACCTATCTATCAACATAAAATTCTTTAAAATTCCTTTTAAAAAAAAACGTACACAGAGCTGAACAAAACAATATCTAATGCCCTAAAGACCTCACCTGGCCTTCAGAACATCACCCTTACAGACAAGCATGGTGGTGGTAGTGTGATGCCCTGGAGCTGGACGAAAACATGGATTCTGCTTTGTAGTAGAACCTTCTGAAGATGAAAGTCTGGCTCATCTCTGTTTGTGCAACAGGACAAAGAATCAAAATAGACCAACAAATTCAGGGCTAACCAAAGGAAAGTGAAAGTTACAGGGCAGCCTAGTTCCTTAACCAAGGGTAGAACTCATCACTAGTTATTGCAAATGTTTTATGTCACAAATTGAAAATTGCTATTTGTAACTATTCGGGTTGTCTTTGATATTAAAATTTGTTGAGAAACTTAAATGTGTAAGTGTGACAGGAGAGCAAAAAGAACACATCTTTAAAGAGGTAGAAACATTTTTATAGCCCTTTCTACATTTTATTGGTCTATACTGATCAAAGCAAACCTAAACAGGACAGGAAAAAAAAGTCCTTTTTCACCCTATCTCGCAGGGCTATCGTCGCCTGAGTGTGGATATCGAAGCCATGAGAGATACACGCAGAGAAGTCAGAGACAAATGGAAAACTATCCTGGAGAACCTGGGTAAAACTAATTGATACACAAATGAGGAACACCAGTAGCAGAACACAGCTGCCTTTGTTGAGGCTGTTTATCTTTTTGTTCCAGGTTTTATGGCTGAGGCAGACTCACTGCTGACAGTATCTGCTGGTGCCTCAGCTGACCGCATGCGTAATGCCCCAGCAGCACGTGCCATGCTGCACACATTGCACACCGAGACCTCCATCTTCAGCTCCAAGGAGGCCCCACCAGAAAGATATCTGTTCATCATTGTGAGAAAATGCCCAAAAATAACTTTGCACTTCTGTATCAAAACAGGGCGTCTATAGCATCTCATTTTAGTTGGTTAGCTTAAGCATCTCAAAGTATTGTTCTACCTTCGTAATAGAGCTTGAATCTGAAAATCACCTTATTATTTTATGTGGGCACTACTTTATACATTTCAACATTTTGGCACTTTTAACTTATTAAACAGAAGCTGATAATATACATCTTTTCAAGCAGGTAATGGATATAGGATATGATGCACCACTAGTGATTTTCCTGTGTGAAATGGATTCTGAGAATGGAAAATATAAAGCATCTCTGGTCGTCGTAACTATGTAAAATGCAAAAAAAAAAAAAAAAAAAAAACATTGAAGTGGTTGGCGTGAATGTTATTTTATTAATTTCTACATTTTTCTATTGGGAGTTGGAATTATAAGATACTTTCTCACTTTGTTTCAATCAGGAAGATCGTTGGTGTCAATAATCAACAGCTTCTTTTTGCAAACAAAGGCTCATAAAATCCTTTTGCATAAACTGCTACAAAGTTTTTAAGACTGAAAATATTTTAAGATGGTAG